TATGAATTATATTTAAAAGAAATTTTTTAAAAATATTGATTAGAACAAAAGTTATTTCATTTGTCAGATGTCTGTGGGACACCCTGTATATTGGTAAGTTCACGGCTGTAATGATCTATTTTTACGCATCGGACATTGATGAATGGACGAACCTATAATTATTGCTAAATCATAGAAAAAAACAAAAATCAATTAATATATTTTTATTTAATTCAATGTAAATTTGTGCTAGGCAGTATACAAAATATCAAAATACATGTAGTTATAACTACATTAAAAAGTTTAAAAAATATTGAAAAGCTTAAGAAAATTAGATACAAAAATATAAAACGTATTAAAATTTATAAGAGTTTTAGTTTATTGCGTTGTATAATACTAAAATATAGGAACATCTGGGGATTTGGGACGCTTGCAGAGTTTGCTTTTTCCTATAATTAATTTAATTMCTCGGTACAAAATTTTAAAATTAACGTGATATTAAATAATAATTTTATAAGGGTATATACTATATAGACACTGTGTTTATTGGCGAAATCGGGTGACTTTGGCCTAGGGCACGGTTTCTAGGCGGGCGTTGCATACCTTACCACTTAAACAAATCATTTCATCATTATCACAGAACAATATATTGTTATAAAATTTCCACTGGCCACGTTGATAACATTCTATCAGATTACGGATACGGTAAAACTAGGTATTATTATACGCATACTTTTACTGCATACCAGAATAGGATACAGAAACACGAGTGTCTATTTTATATTATTCTATGATATAATAATAAGCTAGTATTTAAAGCTAATAAATAAATAACAATCTTGTTGCCATAACAAAAATAAGTGTTGAAAAATATATTATCATGATATATTATTTCATTCTTAATTTACTATTTGAAACGGTCACATATTATATTTCGTTAATTTGTTATTAAAAGTTATTAAGTATATTTGTATTCTTGTACCTATAGAATTGTTGAGATATATTAAGTGTTACTTAATTTTATTAATCAAAACAACTGTAATACGTATTTAACGATCATGTCAATTATCCGCGAATTGAAGATGTCAAAAGGTGATAATACGCAGAATGCATCGTCCAAAAATGATCTGAGCGTTTTCAACGATATTCAGGGAAATAAACGGAACATTTTGGAAAGTCAAGGTCTAGCTAGTTTGCAACCGGATGAAAGAATTAGGTCTGTGCCAGAGATGGAGAGATCTTCTGCCGGCGATCCACTCGTGCCGTCCACGACCGATTGTACGTTGCAGGTTTTATCTGATCTCCGTACAAATCAGCCAAAAGATCTGGAAAGTCATGGGCCCGTGGATTTATCGCTGAGCAGAAGATATCATTCAATGCCCAATATGGCATTGCTTCAGACATCTTCTGTCGCCGAGAACTGCCCCGAAGAGTCGAATGTCGCAATGGATACACTGTCCAGTGGCTCATCAAAGCTAGAGGATTCAGTGATGGTGACTCCAGACGAACATACTGCAGGACCGATCCCTACCATTATAGCGGCTTATGAGAGTCCAACATTTTGTTATCATATTGGATTCATGAGTGCGGCAGCACCAGTGATGCCTGCCATTGCAGCATCTGAAATTCGTGATCTCGAGAATTCGCCACCACACAGACGAGCAGTATCGATGCCCAACATTTCAATACAGTTTGGTGAGGTCAAGTCTGAAGGCGGCTTGACGAAGCTTCCAGAGTCAGTTAATTTCCTGGAACCGACAATCGACGTCGGCTGTAGTGACGATGCAGAGCCGACGATAACCCCGGTTATTGCAAAGCGACGTAAATCATTGTGGAGTAGGACTAAGAAATTCTTCCTGCTAATGATTTGTTGTGGCTCTAGTAATATGCCCATCAATTGAATGTTAATTATTTTACAATATGCTAAGTGCTGCCAGTGGGTGGCTTCTTACTCAATTTTTCATGCCATGTATTCTCTTAACACATAAGCTTATTGTACATTTCTTGTATAGATTGTTCATTTCTAATAAATATTAAAAAAAAAATTTTACAATATAATATAATATGATGCAATAATGCGTATAATTTAATAATATTATCTATTTAATCGTGTTGTATATTCACGAAACTTTTCAAATTAATATAAATTGAAAATAAAATATTTATTTTTGCATCTAAAATTTTAATATTGAATATCAGGTACCTTAAAAGCTCATATAAGTATATATCTATTGTCTAATTTAAACAATTTTAATGTTTTGACAGTCGACACGTACAATATGTATTTTCGAAAATTYTATATGATTTTTAAATCATTACATTTAGTTTACATTATCTATACATACGATAAGTCTATTATCAAAGTTTTTATATTATGGTAGGTACTTAAAAATAAAATTTGTTTTTATAAGAACTTCACTTGAAAAGGATTTGTATCAATGTATACTTGTCTAGGTTCTAGGATTTCGGTGGCATATTCTTCATAAATTTATTTTTAATGCTAACTTAGTGGCCAAATTCTGAACATGTAAAAATTATCAATCTCTAAATGTGCGCTAGGACAATGTTTTTAAAAACTAATTGGCATACAAATGATTTCATTATATTCAGTTATGCATAGATTTTAGGTAATATTTCTTTTGTTGTAGTTTATACGAAGACCGCGACTTTCACAAACCTGACTGGACCTAACTTGCAGTTATAACCACTCAAACGTACATATTATTATGGTGATAATTGCAACGTATGGATAGTACAGGGTTTGTGAAAGTCACGGTATTCGTATAAACTACAACAAAAGAAATATTACCTAAAATCTATGCATAACTGAGTATAATGATTAATGAGAATCATTTGTACGACAATTAGTTTTTAAAAACATTGACCTAGCGTACATTTAGAGATTGATAATTTTTACATGCTTAGAATTTGGCCACTAAGTTAACATTAAAAATAAATTTATGAAGAATATGTCACCGAAATCCTAGACAAGTATACATTGATACAAATCCTTTTCAAGTGAAGTTCTTATAAAAACAAGTTTTATTTTTAAGTACCTATCATAATAAAAAAAACTTTGATAATATCCGTTTGTATAGATAATGTAAACTAAATGTAATGATTTAAAAATCATATAGAATTTTCGAAAATACATATTGTRCGTGTCGACTGTCAAAACATTCTAATATTGTTTGGTTTAAAGTAGACAATAGATATATATTTATATGAGCTTTTAAAGTATCTAATATCAAAAATTAAAATTTTAGATGTTAAGAGAAATATTTTATTTCTAACTCAAATTAATTTTAAAATTTTCGTGATTATGTCGATTTTTTTCAAAATCCTAACTTAATTTATTCTGAATTTACGCTATATATTTTTTTTTAAATAACATTAAGAGCAACCGCCTTATGAGACTTTGTATTACATTTTCAAGTTTATTCAAATATTGAAAGATCATTTATTGAAGAAAAAAAATTATTATTCAAAGTTCCTAATTTAATAAAAAAATAAACTAGCTATAGTAGGGTGAAAAAAATTTCAAGATGCCTAATATCTTAATATCGGTAAAAATGGAATACCGTGTAGAGGAAAGTGGTCAATATGAAGCAGCCCTATCCTAAATTTTCAAAATGTAACCTAAACATAAGGTTTGGCTATCCTGGTCATAACCGTGTTATCTCCCCTTGTCATAACCATGTTACTTTCCCTTGTCTCCTTTACATCATCAGCTCATTCCGCCCATTAATATTTTTTCTCTTTGTTTTTATTTGTTCATTTAAAACTTTTAAATAACACCTCCATACAACTTCGTCTCCTCACCAGCTACAACACCTGCGTCGCCGAACTCCATCGAAAGTTCGGTCACCCCGTGGTTCGTGTCGCGAGCTAAACGCCGCATCTATACGAGACCCAGTGGAGCCGGAGGAATCCGATGCGTTGTTTATGGTGTGGACTGAACATATTTAAATGAGTTATGACTTTATGAGTGTATAAATTAAAAATATTATTGAAAATTACATATGAGTTCTGTAATTCTTTTAAAAATCTTCTTAAATGGGAATTTTTGATTTATATGAGCATCATAATAAATGTAGGTATTCATTATATTACATTTTTATCATTATTATTTCTTAAGTATTTAAGACTTTTTTTTTTTCCGTTTGAACCGACAGCAGGGGAGGATCTGTGTGAACATTACTACTCCCCAAGTATTTAAGACTTAATGAAGAATATTATACATCGGGTGTATGTAATAGAAAATTAGGAATATTATTTACTAAATATATACCTCTGAATGTTCAATAAAAATATGTTCAGAAGTTTTTTTTATTACTAAAAGTAAGTGGTAGTAAAGCTATTTATAAAATAAGATTTAAATAATTATTGTTTAAAATATTTTGCAGTAGTACCTTGTAACCTACTGTACAGCAGAGCGAAATCCACGACTTACCTACCCGATTTTTTTTCTTTTGATTTTCAAATATCCAATACTATTCCAACTTATTAGTCCCTAAAATATCCAAATTTTCGTACTACACACATAGCCCCAAATCAGTCCAATCTAAATTATACATAGTAGGTGTACCTATCAATTAATAATAATATGTATTTACAATAAATAATTTTATTTAAATAAAGTAGAACCTCTATTTAACAAATTTAAAGGTTCTTTAAACAAATTTGTGGAATAGAATTTTTATTGAAAAAAAAAAATTTTTTTATATATAAAACTCATATTAAGTGTACAAAATGCATGAAAATAATAATACATTAATACATAATATCAGTAAATAAATAAAAATAAATTTAAATTACCTATATTAAGTATGTAAATTATAGTTTTTTTAAAATTCTTTGTGGTCGAAGAACTTACTGATATCCTGTATTAATATTGTTGTTTTATAGAATTTATAGAATATTATTATAAAGGTTTAATGTAAATAACACACTTTTAAATTTCATACTATTACACACTGAATTGTTCGTACTACACACAATTTTAGGGACTGGAGGTACACTATATAGGCATGTAATTGTGTAGCAGAACGGTTCTCTCTTTTTAGTGGGGAAGTTTCTAATATATTACAAAAAAGAATGAGTTTGGTAACTGAGTGGGGCCTCTTTACAATATATTTTGTATGGTGAATGGAATTAAACTAGTTAAATAAAAGAAAATAACGAAAAATCGTTATTCCAAAAATTTATTTAAGGTATATCGTCAATATCGAGCAACAATGGAATTAATAAAAATAGTAATCAGTATCTAACGTAGTTATAGGAGATGTTTTGGATGTTCACACTCTTATCGTTACTCTCGCCTAATTTTGTATTATTTATATTAATTTTGTACGAAAACTGTAAAAACAAAAACTTTTAATACATTATAATTTAGTATACTAGGTATATGTATTATATAATAATAGTATTAGTACTATTATAATATATTATGTTATTTGTGTATGGCATATTTAACGTTCATATACACCTACAATTGTTTTGTTATTTCGTTGCATAATTCGTTTTTAATATTATTTATAGTGTACAAGTTTCAATATCAATCATAGTTTTATGTAATATTGTACATTAGTACAATATGTAAAAAATAGATGGAATAGTGATGAGTGGAGCCAGTGGAGTGGGAAACCCCCCACCTTCTTTTTATTAATACGGCTAAGCTGCGTTTACCTTTAAGTATTTTTAAAACTACATCACTACTGACGATCATTTTGGAACAGTGTAAATTCAATAACGTTACATACGGTATACAATTTATAAAACTTATAAATTAATACTTTATTTAGGAATAACATTTTTCGGTGTTTCAACACAGTTTATTCATCTACGATTTAAAAAAGATTAATTTTGTCACAGTTTAAGGCAATAAGTAAGTGACCACTAGCTAAATAGACTACATAAATCTTACAGATAGGCATTTAACAAAATAAACAAAAACAGGAATTTGGGGTGAAGTTCAATCAAACGTCAACATGTCCAATGTAAGATTGACCGGTTACTACATAGTATTATTATATTGACAATAAATTAAATAAATAACGGGTACAATATTTTACGTACCTACGACCTATCTATGGCTAATATAAATATAAAATAACAAATATGGTATATATATATATATAATTGTTAATCATCATTCAAACTCGTCTCATGTGACATAATATTGTATTATAATAATGTATAATAATATAGATTATCATAAATTCACGGGGATTGAGTTTCGAATGGACTCATCATATTATACTTTGCCAAGGGCCGGCGGCGCGAAGTCTGATCACGCGTGCTGTGGTATTATTGCGATTTCAGTGCGCGGTGTACGACGAGTACAGCGGACCGGCGGTGGTGCGGTGCGCCAGTAGCGTCCGCTTCCAGTGGTGGTGACCGGCCGCCGGTGCAGGTGGCACGTAGTACTCGTATGAGAATATCTTTTTGATGTTGCTCATCAGTGACACCATTAGCGCCATTTTGCTGACCAGCAGCGCTTTGCCACCCAGCGTGGACATGAACATGAAGCCCATCGGGATCAGGATTGCCGACATGATCATGTACGTGCTCACAATGATCGGAAACACCCTCCGATAAGCGTGACGTCTGCGCCCTGACGGGGAAAAAAACAAACATAATACGTGTCAATATTATTTGTACAAAGTCTGCGGATCACCCCCTTGTATGAGAACCGAGCAGGATTCACTAAAAGTATTTATTTTTTTCCCTTTTCGAGATTTATTTTAGATAGTTCATTTCAACTATCCCTGCTATGATTTACGCTAACGTAGCGGCCACTATTTTTAAAATTTTTATATTATAATGCTTCGTTACGTAAAATGTGACCACTAACTATGAGTCACTATGGTTATTCATTTAGCGGAAAGTTTTAGGGCCCATTAATGTAACTAGCGAAAGGAATCCATAGAATTACAGATGGGTATATTTTTTGATCTCAAACTTTGCTAATTCTGTATTGTGATAATTTTGTGTCATCAGTTAGATTTTGTTTGCATCATCATTTAAATTATAAATTGCACAGTGCATTTATTTAATGTTTTTGATAATAACTTAATTTAAAATGAATGATGTAAATAATTTTATTGAGTTTATTGATGATTTAAATAATTTAGCCGAACAGATGACGAATTTATCTATATATTTCGTCTTTCAAAAATTTGTGTAAATTATACATATTAAATTTAGGTACTTACAGGAAAATTAGAAACAACTACTGACAGGTAAATGTTAATATTTCAGTCCCTTAACAGTAAATTTGTATTGAATATACCTGCCTAATAATGGCTAATAACCAGAAGCCTAATACAGTAATACCTATGACATATTTTATTTTTGGGAATATGGTATTAGCCCCAATGAATAACGTATTATTTACACTACGCTTTTATGCTCTGGTGACTATGCTTTTATCAATGGTATATATGTTTGGTGTAAGTGTGTTTTCCGCAAATTGTACCTAGTTCCCAGTTGGTTTTAATTATAGGTAAAAGTAAAAATTAAAAAATTGCATTAGTTTTCAAAATAATAATTACAAAATTAAAAACAGTAACTATTTTAAATCAATTTATATTTAGATATTATTTATAGGTACCCATATGATATTATAATATTAAAATAGTTTAGCTGTTTTTAAGGCTATTTACAGGCATATCGAATTTTCATTTTTTTTTTTTTAATTTGATTTATCATTTATGTTAAATATTTTTTGTTTTATTGGTATAATTAAAAATCAAGTTTTATAAAAAATGCATTATTTTTATTAATATTTCCTTAAAAATGGAGACTGACAAATTTCTGTACATATAATCTTTCTTTCGTATGCAATGATTTATCATTGAATTCAAATAATTAAACATATCATTACACAGATATCTATAATAAATTATTATACATATCTGTGTATAGTTATCAAATTTTAAAGTTAATTACGTTTAATTATTAGTTAATAGTTGTCACAACTGCTGATTGTTATGAATCAATGAAAAGCATTTTACTTTTTATAATTTATCTAACTCCTAGTTGGACTAACAAAAACATAGTTTATAATGTTATAGCCTAAAGTCTCCGCTACGCTAAACCTTCTGATAGCTTATTAACTTTCAGTTAAATAAAATTTAGCTGGACATTATAATAACGGCCCTTATATTGTAGTATATATGACTGGTACAACTGTTATTATGATTTTCAATTATGTCCACCTTGGTTCGGTGTATTAAAGAGTAACATTTAACACTTAACTTAACTTCAATATATTATAACTAGTGTTAAAATTATGTTTATGTATATTGTATTATTGTATATAAATTTCTGCAATGATTATCAAACAACACCACAATAACACGACGTACCTACCTACTGTGTTTTCTATGTCATTTATATTTGTATTAGTGATATCTTATATGTTAAGTTTAAAAGGGGCTGGAGCATAACATGTTTTAAGGAATATTATTTAGAAATTTCATATAGCATATCATACATTTTGGCTAGTTTTTCGAGTAAACTCAAAATTTTGGACTTTATAAATATTATTAAAAACTATTGACATCCAMATAATATTTTTTTAAATATTTTTAATACAGGTACCTAGGTAGCTTCAAAAATATAAAAACAAAACCTATGAGGCAGGCTAGAATAGTAGAATCTATTAAAAACATCGAATGGATGGGGGGTGGCCACTGACCACAGTAAAAAATGTTGAGAAACACTACCCTAAATAATATTTTATCATTTACACTTGATAATAATTGGTCATTTCACTTTCATATAACAGAGTAAAATAGATTCTTCTGAAAGTTAAATAGTGTCCATGTTACGCGTTAATAAGGAGAAAACAGTGTAATTTAATCAATTCTGTGGTGTTTTGAACGGTAAGTGTAGTTATGTGGGCAGTGGGCATACATCAAATCAGGACGAAACAGGTGGCCAGATTATTGCAGTAGATATACAGTGTGGTTCATGCAATAGGTCTAGACACTTTTTTTCATTAAATTGGTGTGCGGCCGGCCACTTAAGTGGATACGACTTATATTTACACTTTATTGAAACTACACAAGAGAAATATCGCGGTTTTTATAATGAACTTGGACAAAGGGCATAGAATTTTCATGAAATTACAATAGTAAAACGTTTTTTCGAAATTTTTTTTTATGTTTTATAATTTTAACATATTTTCTTGTTTCATATTAATTTTTATAGAATTATTTATATATTTATGTACACCTTCATAATTTCTATAGAATAACACTGTGAATCACAGCGTTATAATCATAATTTATTATACATTATTCATTATACACACACACAGATATATATATATATATTCGTATAAATTAGATTTTTCACGGTGGAGCGGCAAATCTATATTTTCACAAAATCTGCAGCCCACCAGCTGTGAAATAAACAGAAACGAATACTAATTTAAAATGTATTACTGTAAATAAGAATCAATTCACAAAAAAATACAATAATATCAAATATATGATTTCTATTAWATTGCTTATTTTGGGAGTGTATACCTATTAATTTTTATTAAATATGTTTCGTTTAATATTTGTTTAAAAAAAAATAATTTGTATTAGTATTTATTTAAAATACTTGGATGTACAAACTAGATATGCAATAACAAAAATGAAAACATATTTAAATTTGTTATCGAATTTASAATTAATTTTAATTCCATATAATAATTAATCACTGTTTAAAAATATTTCATTTTTGACATTTTGAAATTAAATTTAAGGAAAAGATAAGAGTTGACGTTTGGAAAAGTGTGATTGTCAATATTAAGTTAAATTCATATAAAATTAAAATACATTTTTAGATTTCATATCACTTTATTGGTTTTARTCGTTTCGTGCATGTAAAAAATAGGTAAGTTTCGTCAAAAAAATTATCCTGTATAAAATGTATTTAATTAATTGGAAAATATCTAATTAATTGCGTTAAATTAATTAAAAAWTTTTCATTGTAGTATTACAATAACAATCATAGTATGATGTTGCATATTATAGTTATATTTAAAAAGGACTTCAAATGTCTTCTGTTCATAAAAACGATATGGAAACTAATTTAATTTACATAATATAAAGTATTGCAATATCCATTACTTATATCATATTATACCCATATTTCCACATCCATGCATCACTCATAGACTTGGTAGGCAAAGTTTATTTGTCTATATAAAGTTTATTTTCTGTAAATATATGTTGTTATATTAGCATAGAAATGATTATACTTGTGTGCGTTTTACATGCATGCTATTTTGTTTAAAATACGTAGGTACGCAAGCGGATGTGATGTATTGTACATTTTAGCATTAATTAGTTTGTTTGAAATTCTGTAAAATTTGAATATGCACCGTAATATTAAGAATCTATAATAATATGTATATTAATTAAAATATTACTACAATATACCTTCAGTGGTGGCGTTATTAACCGGTGTCCATAAATCAATTTGCAACGAATGACTATCGATGAATGAAACCATTCTGTTGATTATGTCGAAAGTATGATTCTGGTAGCTAAATATAAAATGATTAATTATTAGTATGTGTATTTTGTGCATATTTCATATACACGTGAATCAGTAAGAATCAATTTATTAATTATATTAATTATTATTATTAATTACCATAACGGGACAAACTTGGAAATAATAACAGTATATTATATACTCCAACTTTAAGAACTTACTATCTATCTCGACAAATATCGGGTATTAAAAATGAAGAGTAGGCTTAGAAGTATGGAGGCTTGGAGTTAAAGAAGTTTTGATATCAGAGAATACTATTCTATAACTTTGCATGTACAACAGTTTCGTATAAATTCTGAAAAGGCTTCTTTCTACTGTATTGATTTTGAATGCCAATACGGTTTTCTAGGTAGGTACCAGCTATATGAAAACCATTATGGTTAATGGCATTTTATGATGAACCATAACGATAATAGGATTTTATACAATGAAGCTATAATGCTGCTACTTAAAAGCCATTATATTAAATATAAATTTAATTATTATCGGTAGCTCTTTACAGTAATAAATCGATTTTTTAAGATACAGCTAGCTGTGTTCTGTGTAAAATAGGGTTCCAATATCAATGATAGGTTTAAAAGTCATTAAACACACTAAATTCATTAAATAAATATTATTGTTAATCACGCAACATACGGCGTGAACACTGATAATTAGACGAAACTCCACAGTCCAGGGCTTTATTACACCTGCATTTCACTGTCGTATTTATTGTCATTTTATTCAGTACTTTTCAATCTCGTAACGCTTTTCTGGTCTACTGTTATTTATAAAATAAGAATATTTAAATTTTTGTTCTTGAGCATTAATATCAAATGTTATTTCTGTTTGAATTCATTGAATGAGAGGTACAAGAATACAGGTTACATAATTATGTAAGTACTTTTATAATTGTAATAAACTTATAATAAATTATTATGCTGTGAATATATTGAGATGAATGACAAAGTACTTATAGGTATAATAAGTTAAAATGCTTAAACACCTGACAATCTGTCATTAACAACGAAAATATAATATTTGTATAAATTATTAAAATAACAAAAAATAATAATATTTCTTACTTACATATTATTTAATTTCATAAATATTAAATTTATTTAAAACTTATGTTTCTCATTATTTTTTATGCCACTACAGCACATGAATGTGTCTTGATTAGATAAGTTTGTTGTTCAAACTTCAAACATATTTAAAATATTTAAAGTATTTAAGTATTTTTAACAACAACTTAACTAATAATGATTACAATAATTATCTGTTATAAATGCCTATTTTTAAATTTGATTTAGATATATTATTAATTCAGGACTAAATTGGTCCGATTTTTAAAACAATGGTAAAAATTATGAATGCATAAATCTTAGTATATTTTTTGATTGTAAATAACCTTATTCCTTAATGATCAAATAATAATATTCTTATGCATATTAGGTATACGAGTATAGGTAATAAAATGAATACAGTTTTAATGTTTCAAGTTAAGAAATCCCTTAATGCTCTCATGCTATTTAGATAATTTTCGATATCATATGAAAAGTGATTTTATAGTTAGTTAGTTTTTAAGTAAACAAATAACTTAATATTTTTAAAAAATATTCACGTTTCTGGAAATTAGTTGATTTGGTATCAAGTTATAAGTAGTTTGTATTTGGATGAATGGAAATATTAGATCAGCATATACATAACATTATAAATGATATAATTATGCATTTGGGGTACCTACACTTATTATGACACTCAAATCCTATCATCTAAACTTTTAATATCTACACGTATCTAACAAACCGAAGAATTTAATATTGATATTATAGAGTTTCTAGAACGAGAAACCTACAAAATAGTTTCTATTTAGTTCGATAGGTACCTTATATCTTATTTATACTATATCAGAATGTTTCTAATATTCTATTCACACTCACAATAAAAGTAAATTTTATATAGCTGAAGGACAGCAAGAGTAAGTTTTATCATATTTTGATTTCAGTATTGAGTTGCTTGGATTTATTTGTTGTATAACAAGTGGGCAAAATCCAGCAATAGGCGAATCGAGTTAAGTTCACCCATAAGGGTACTTATATTACTTATAATTAAATAATATTGAGAATCCTAAAAACGTAGGTATATCTTATGTAGTTATTTATTTAAAAGTATATTTTTTTTTATATCCTAATTATTATCAGTTTTTAAATAAATTGATTTTAGGTGGTCTGGAAAAAAATTATAGTCAGTTATTATTTTTGACAATAGTTTAAAAAAATACTTGATGACTAATATAGTATGATAATACCAATGAAATGAGCCATTTAAAAAACAATTTTACTTGGTACTCCTTTAAATTATCTTCCTAATTGTGCTTCCACGCTATACTAAATATAATAAATCTGTAGCATTCCTCGCTTCCTTTTTAATGCACAAGATTATTTCGAGAAAATGCTTCTCTTAATTCATTTTAACTGAAAATCCATATTCTATATATAATTAAAACTAATCATACACTCGCACCTACTTTCTATCAGTTTTATTAAATTATGTTTTATGTTATCATAATTAATACAATTTGTATATCTCGAATTCTCAAATGTAGCTCTATAATTAATTATTATATATATTAAAATATAACTTTGAACAATAAATAAATCAATCAAAATAGTTCCATTTTCATTATTTGTTATAATAGATGTCTAAATGTCCAATCACGATGCTTTCTACTGTGTAATATTTTAAACACTGTTATTATGCAAAGAAAGAAATAGGTATACTGTTAATTTCATAATTCTTTTCTTAATTGAAGTTTCGCTCTGATACCTAATAGATACACACTTCTGCGTGTATTTGGTGGGTAAGGCGTACCTATATTTAATGTTCAAATAAATTATAATTTATTCTGTGAAATCTTTATTCATTTTTATACATTTTATAAAATTATTATTTTTATTTTCAAAAACAATCTGTACAACAAGCACATTTAGTAATTTTGATATAGAATATAAACATAATTTTTTTTTTAAAAACAACAACTTTTAAGGAAGTCACCCATTGGTAACACCTAAGAACTTATAGTTGGATTTAGATCACTTAAGGAGATCTCGATTCCAATTTCGTTTGAGCCTTCGAGGGGGGTTGCCTGGGATATGCAGTGAAGCCATATCTTTATTGAGAGGATTAGTACTGGAGTTGAGTTGGGAGTGGAAACGGTGGTCATTTTATAAAATAAAAATAAAAATATGAATGGTTAGATTCGTTTAACATATTATCTTGGAAATTGGGATTAGAAATTTTGTGTAAATAAAGTTTTATAAGGATCACGAATATTGAATAGGTATGTAGGTATTTCCATTAACACTAAATTATTGTTATTCAATTTGAATATTAATAATATAAAATAATTATGAAATATATTAAAACGCAACTTATGTATAATTGTATAATTTTAACGTCTAAGTAGAAGTCTTATTCAAGTAAAGTAATAAATAAATAATTGTTCAATGAACCTTACCTATACAATACATAGTTGTAACCGTTTTAGGTACTACACTATTGATTTAATATACCTGCATATAGTTATTTTTAATAATGTATTATTAAATGATGCACATTTTCTAAGTGTGACATTATTTTCTGTACTAGTAATAAGTATAATATTTTACTAAAACTCATCGTATTAACTTGCGTCTCGTTAAGTATTTTTTAGATTAAATAAAACATTATAAAAAACTAACAGAAGTTTAATCTATATTATGTTCCTTAGTTCTAGTGGTTAATTTTTCGCAGGCAATCACACTATACTATATGACTTGGTATAACTTTACCTATACCTATATCTGCGGTTGTATGCATATAAAGTATTTTATCAAATTTCTCTCTGGAATATCGCTGTGTTATTTACGGAAAAAATATCGTGGTTGATTTTATGTAATTTTTAATGATTAACATAAGATTAATAACTGAGTGAATTTTATGTTAAAAATATAGTAGCACGGAAAAAGTAAAAAAGAGGCCGGCGAAACTATTTTAATTATGTTCAAGACAAAGGTTGTTATTGGTTTAGAGCTACGTGTTTTTATCGATATACAATGTTTACGTGCACAAATATTATTGCCTTTGGAGTATGGGAACCTTATATACAGGGAAATAAAATATGTACATCGTACATTATTATAATATTATGTATAACTGTATAGGACGAGTAAAATAGACCACATTTTATGACGGATTTCTTGTTTTTTTGGTTCATTGAATTTGTAATTAATATTTTTGTGGAACTACAAAGAATCAATCATAACGTTTACGAGATATGAATTACTGAATTAGAACTTGTTTAAATAGATGCAATATAAAATTAAAATACAAGATATTTTTTCATGACATATTATTTATATAATTATATTAATTTATAAAAAAAACTATTTAATACGCAGTATAAACAGAGTTAGACAATTGTATTTTGAACCTCTAACAATTAGGTATATAAAGTATCGAATATTTCATATAAGATTTTTATCGAAAGATACTCAATATACTTGTGATACAATTCTGTTTTTTACCATAAAAGTTGATACTAAATAATTATATTACTATCAAAAATTATTAACATGTAATACAATTTTACTTGTCACAGGTGATTTTTGGTAGGCTGTTGTAAATTATTTTAAATTTTTCAATCAATTACCGAAAAATCATAATTTATAGTTATATAATATGTGGTGTATAAATGTATAATAGATATATTATATATATATATTGATACATGCACATTTAATGCGAAGCGAATTTGTCTCATTATTAATGTTATATAGGTACCTATAGTCAGTTATTTTTAATAAATTTGTGACTGATTGTGTTTAAATGTATTGAGTATCTAACTATCTAAGTAGTATTGTTATACTCCAACGCCAAGTTTTTAGTATCTAGTATCTCGATAATTGCTTATTGTGTATCTTTCCTAATCCTGAGTGTTCAGTGTATTCACTATATACYGGAGATACTCGAACGGCGTCGCGGCTACGCGGAGCGTGGTGAGAGTTAATGAAGGGAGCCACGTAAAAGCACCGGAAACCAACATTAATTTAGATATTGTATATTATATTATTAATTATAATCATTATGAAAATGATGACGAAACATATTATCACGTGGCAATTCGAAGTTATATTTCTAGTACTAAAAAGTCGCTGTTATTATCACCCACATATTGGCCATATTGTATCTATATATATTGTTTTAATTTTTTTATAATAATAATTTGGGAGCCGTTAAGATATTGCAAACGCACAAAGAAGCCGCGGGAATTTGGTACGATTTGTGTACCTAACAGATCTAAAATGCGTAGCTATAATACCTACATATGGAAGTGTGACATTACTATGCAGTACCAATAAACTTAGTTTACCCAACAATTGTAATTTTTTGAAAACCCTATCGATATACATATTATATTCAAGTTTTTAGTAATTAGATCTTCTATGGTGGAAGGGGGAGTAATATGAATTTGTATGTTCACAGCCAGCTTTTACGCGGTAGAAAAAATTGTTCAAGTGGAAATGTTCCGCTCCGAGAACACCGATTTACCGCGTAACACAATACGGTGATTACACAAAATTGTCCATCTATTTGCCACTTGCATAAAAATATTTACCGTATCAACTATTTTTTTAATAGATTTTCGGTTTTTTTTTTTAATTTTTATAAAAAAAGTTTATTAAATAATTTGTGTTCTATACTTGAAATATTATTTTTATAAAAATTAGCGATATTTTATTGAAAAATTAAAAAAAAATCGAAAATCTAATAAAAAAATAGTTGATACGGTAAATATTTTTGTGCAAGAGGCAAATAGGTGGACAATTTCGTGTAATCACCGTATTGTGTTACGCGGTAAATCGGTGTTCTCGGATGGGAACATTTCTGCTTGAACAATTTTTTCACCGCGTAAAAGCTGGCCGTGAACATACAAATACATACTACTGGGGTAATATGGAACCCTCGTTTAACACTCTAATCCTGTGAATACGCGTGACTTCAGTGCTATTGCGTGATTTGCAGGGCCTATGGCAGTACATACATAATGGACTTATAATTTTCATTACTTTACTAATTGGGTATAAGCACTTACATCATTCGTTATTATTAATAATATTTTATCATAAAGTCCTTATGGGTATTTATATTTAGACTGCTGCAGGATGGTTAATGTGATTAATTCTTACTTGGCCGATCTGTCGGTCGTTGCGGTGGTCTTGACCAGCCGTATGCCGTCGGCTATCTGCAATCGGTCCGATCGTTCCAACAGCCTGAATGTTCTGGCTACATTTTGGGCCACACACTGTGGCCACTCGGCCGCACCACAACCAYGGAACCAATCTGACAGCGGCGGTTGCATCTGACCAAGTTGTTGTCCAGCGGACGTCGTCACATCCGCCGCCACTGCCGCCACCGACGCCACTAGCAGCACAGTAGTTGCTTGTAACCGATTCATCTTCCGTGTACGGTCACTGTGCCTCAGACGGCCGTATTTAAATCGTATGCACACGATGATCGGCAGCGATCGCGATCGTAATGTGAATAATCACCGCCATGACGAACACGATTTATTTTATTTAATTTATATAATTATACAATCGTCGCGTACGAGTATAGGAATCTACCTTATAATTGGTAGCCAGTGTACCCAGTCGGATAGTTTCCCCGTCGACGTTTCCGGTTCGATTGTCTATCGGTCCGTGGAAAATTATTGACGTCGAGTTCAAGTGTTTTGTGGACTTCGTGTTACACACACGACACACACACACGCTATATTGATAAACCAATATAACATTTGTATACTTGTTATTAATATTATTAGCCTAATTACCGTTTGTCCAGAAAATTATGTACATAAAATCATCGGTGAAAATCAGGGAGACATAGCTAAAAACCAACTGAATTATTTCCCTTCATCAATATTGTCCAAAATGTCCATTAAAATAACACTATATACACTATACACTGTATATGTACAAAATATTAAYCATATKTAAAAGTGGTAAATATTTTTTTTTTCTAATTAACCTCTCATGATTAGAGATATTTTTATTTTATCATTTCTTTGTAACAACTGAAAATCCGATAGAAAACACTTTTGTTATCCTTTGTTTATTTTTTAATTATAAAAGTTGACGAAAAAATTACTTAAAACTTTACAACAAAAACATTATCCTTTATTCATTGAAAAAATGTTCTTTGTGTTTTGTGGCTAATGGAATTATATTTTTTTAAAGTTTTTTCAGCACTTTTAGCGAATTAACTATAGCTTGTCATTTTGTTTTATCGATTTACAAACAAACCAAAAAGCGAAGCATAAGCTCTAGTTTTACTTTTCTATACGTAAACTTAATAAGAGGGTCTATTAAACTCTAAAATTAAATGTTGTCATTATTTATTATCATAATGTAATAATATTTTATTTTATAGGTATATTACTCAATTAAAAATCGACATGTTAAACATTTTTATAGATGGTTACCTAACAAAATAATAGTCAACAGTGTGATAATAATGGCTGCTATAGTAGCCTATATATTATAATAATATAGATAAAATTAGTAAATAATATCATTAGGTTTAAGTATGTAATTTTATGTAAATAAAATATCGTTAGATAATATTTTGAATATAACATCGGTAATTGTATCTATATTTGGTAACAAAAACGCGGCAGACAGATTGACACAGCAGATATAAAAGGTATTCAGATTCTGTAATTGTAATTGTACATACCGTATATACTGTAATATACAAATTCTAACCCAACAAGTAGCAAAAATTACTATSTTATATAAGCTTAAATCGCTTACCTATCTGTTATTGTTGCTAAAATTATTTTACCAAATATTTCCTTGATATAATTAATAACTTAATTATTTTTACTCTAATTTTTTAAGTTCTATGTGAACTTTATTGGTACCTTGGCAGGATATTAAGTAAGGTTAGGAATCAACGTGATCTTTCGCTAGACAGGGATTAGGAACATTTATAGACAACAATTTTTGTGCAGGGGATTGCTCCCTTCATCAAAAGTCTAGCCCTAAAACCACCGCCGTGGTTATGGGAATATTATGAATGTCTATTGTATTTCTAGTCAGCTATATGAATATATCGCTTTACTAAAACCAAGTGTCCAATATGGTGTGGGATAACATGCCTATTAATATATATACACACCTAATGACGTCGAATCGTTTAACTGTCCTTTCTTCGGTTGCCAAGTTTGTTGCAAAGTATTTTAAATATATTTCAAGCCAAAACGGTGACATTATTGTTCGGGTGGGGGCATGATCGCTTGGTTCAAGTATTTGGTTTTCTGCCATTTAGAGAAAATTAGGATCGGGTAAACGAGCAGAATAGTCACATATAGGATGTACCACTAAACCATATTGGAAATTATGTTTCTATCTCAATCAGCCTGACAGACTGCGACAAGTTTAAAAGTTTCCAAAGTTATTTATGTCACGCTTTAAAAGATATATTTTTTATCAAATTTATTTCTTCTATTTTAATGATTTAAACCAGAAATGTAAATTTGATTAGGGGTACGACAGCACTGCGAGAGTTTTTTCTAGTGAATATTCATAACGGAAGCAGAACTGAAACCTACGCTGGACGGTACAGTATAGTAAGGAAAATAAATTTAATTTCGATAAAACTTATGATACATTGATACATTATACTTGGTGGTTAATAGTTATGCTTATGTTGTATAGTTAATATTAATTTTTATTATTTACTTTTTGAATTGACTGCAACAGAACTATGTGGATCCAGTATACTGGTCTCATCAGCCATGATTTTTATTGTAGTATGGTATGGTTATATATTATACTGATTTATACTTATCATCATTTTTATTTTCGATTTCATTTTAATAATAACTGTGCAATTTACATAATATAAGAACAGTATGTAACAGAAATACCTGACTATTTATATATTATAAAAACTATATAATATACAACGAAAAAAAAAATGGAATGTATGGAGAGACTGTTCAAAAAAGATGGGGGATGGAAAAACTATAATTATTTTACAGTTAGGTACATTATATAATATTGTAAAATATACCTTTTATTATTCCTATTTAATATTAGAACATTCAAAATATTTCAAATATGTTATTCAACACTTWAAATATTAAWTAAAATAATTTGAACCCTTTGGATATGCAAAAAACCTCTTCCCTTGSATATAGTGGTGGTTGGATTAATTTGTTATACTAATATATTATTGAAATATTAATTGTTTTGCAGAGCTGTACAATGTTTCCCTTAACCAAGCTAGCGTACTATGTTTGTGATGACGAYGAAAGAGCATTTTATGACGAKTTAGAGACGTTAAAAATCGATATTCAACCTTGTTGTGTCGATGTATTGAGTTACCTAAAGAACGAGACAAAATCAAATATTATATATGACGATATTGATTTAAACAATTACGGTAAATGTAATGAATAAGTAGGTAAATTACATGGCCTGTACGAATATAAAGGTTAAAGCGGTATATCAAACTTAATATTGTCACACTATTTATGYCCTTATTTATATAACTCGACCACGGACCAATATTACTAATTTGTCGATAAAATCGAAATCGCCTTTATATCTCTTAATCCAAGCCTGCGCACTTACGACATCGATCGATCGTATTAGGATTTAGGGCAAATGATAATAACGCTCGTTAAGGGGGGGAGGGTATTTTGAGCTCTGCAAGTGCTTATTCAAATTGTAGTCCTAAGGCTTTAGAAAGCTTTTCCTAAAAATGTTGATATTATAGTCAAACGTCATATTTTTTTTTTTTTTGAAGGGTCAACCGAAATCTTATCCCACAACAATATCATTTCAAACCATCATCTCGTGTCGAACTCGTTCAAAACTACGTCGTCCAGCGAAAACGACAAATATGATACAGCCAACTCAATGAGCGAAAAGGCCGCAGCCAGTGGACATCTGGAATGCTTGGCATTCGCCGAAAGTCACGGGTTCCCATGGACGCGAACCATATGCAWCCAAGCGGCCGCCAATGGACAGCTCGAGTGCCTCAAGTACGCACGCGACCGGGGCTGTCCATGGGACGTGTCGGYGTGYGAGTTAGCYGCGGCCAACGGTCACTTGGAGTGCTTGGAGTACGCCCGGGAACAGGGTTGTCCATGGGACTCGATCGTTTGTGCGAAAACGGCCGCCCGTGGCCAACTCGAGTGTCTGGCGTACCTCCGGGACAACGGGTGTCCCTGGGACGAGTACACGTGTGAGATGGCCGCGGCCGGTGGGCACATCGACGTCCTTCGGTATGCGTACGAGCACGGCTGTCCCTGGGACTCGGTCACCTGCCAGGAAGCCGCGGCAAACGGCCACCTATCGTGTCTGGTGTACGCCCACGAAAATGGTTGTCTCTGGGACAGTATGACGTGTGAAGCGGCCGCAGCCGGCGGCCATCTTCAATGCCTAATGTACGCGCACAATAACGGCTGCCTTTGGGACATGTCAACGTGCGACGAGGCTGCGTCAAACGGGCATATGCRATGTCTGGAATATGCCCAAGAAAACGGTTGCTATTGGGACGGTAAATTGCACGAATGAGATAGAAGGAAGGTACTTCCATAGATGTGTAATATATTTTATTATATCATAATTTATGATCATCGTGAATATTAGGTAAATGATATAGCTCATACAATTTATTTTTAAGCAAATATACTATGTAAGATTAATAATAATTGTAGGTATTTGTCTTTTAGGTTTTTTTAGCAACTTGACTGGACTTCGAAAAATCTCTATATTATCATTTTAACGGTTAAATGTGAACCATGAAGTTTTCTGTGATGACTTTTTTATTAATTTGGTCGTGAACTCTGAAAACAGTCAACACAATTGCCTATATAATTGGATTTCGTTAAAAAAGTGAAACTCAATTTTTTAAATATTTTTGTTTGCTTGCAGAATTCGATATTCTAGAGTGACAATAAATAATGTATTATGCTAGGATTTACATAATACTAAACAAATAAATAAGTATTTTATATTCAACTTATATGCATTATGTTTATGAATAATAATATTCATTTAATTATGATGCCATTTAATTACGATGGAAGTTATTTTAAAATTATAAAAAATTACTAAAAATATTTTTAATTTCATGTTCTATTTAAAATTTAAATGTAATACATGGCGTTTAAGTAAAGAGATAATTAAAATTGTATTATTATTAATTTTAACTGTTTTGCTGATTAATAAAATACCATATGCCCCTTTGAAAAGTCTTAAATACGCCATTGTAATCCAATTAATTATATTTTATACTTTAATTCCTTACTTGTTCAATAAATATTCTATATTTCTATGGCTTCAATTAAATTCACTTTGATTAAAATACGAGGTTTAACGTTAATTTGAAATGTATACATAATAATTTATTATTCTGATTCACATGGAAATATTGCTAACACTATTTTTTATACATTTAGTATTAACTATCGTACCTACTGCAATGTATCATAAAATTATATCATGTGTTTATAAAAGGAATCTAATAGGATATGGAACAAATTTAAAAATTTAAAAAAAACTATAAGAAATTATGGCTGTCTCCCAATAAGCGATCTACCACTGAAAATGCGGGCTACCAGAATAGACGTGGTTATTATACTAAATTATAGTATTTCAGAGACCAGCACGGATAGGCATATGTGGACATGTGGTATAAATAAAAATACCAACAAATATTAAATATGATAATAATAATAATAATGATGTGGTACGGTACGACCCGTCGCTAATGAGGCACGAGAAATCCATCCATACTCTAATTGTTTCGGACAAGGTAATAGACCATAATCTTGCAAGTATTTAACACTCGAGGCCTCAGTTAAAAAAAAATTATAAAATTTTTTTACAAGCATATTTAGTTAAAAAATAATATCATTATGAAAAAATAAGATAAAAGTGATAAAACATAATATATTTAAGTAGTAGATAATAAACTAATAAATAATAATGATGCGGGATTCTCTACTATAGGTAGRTATAACACATGAAATTGGTAGACCACATACTATAGGTACTCATACTTATAGTTAAGTACCTAGTACGCAAAAAACAGGTAGACCGCATATTGGGAGATATTAATGTCTGTATCTAACGATTTTCGAATTGTTAGGATTTTATACATTATAGCGAAATAACTGCAAAGCACGATAATGGCCGTATGGTGTCATATCCATTGTCTGCAGTTTTTGGACAGCAGAAGCGCCAGAAGCTATTGACATGCATGCTGTTGTGTGTCTCTGTCTCTATACTCACTTATAACAGTTATAACGATGCAATTATCAGGGAATATTAAATGCCCGATCGCAGACAGTTGCTCCATTCGATTATCCGCATTTGACTGATGCTTCTTTTTAAGCATAGTAAAGCCGTAAATCCAACTTTCAAGCTGAGGAAATCAGCTGAAATAAGAACAAGTGCTGATTTTTAGTTACTAATCCTCGCCTCACATGCACGTATTTCTCAACCAACCGAAACCCCCTATAAAATTCTAATGATCATAGTACTTAAGTTCAATAAAAAAAGCTCCTAGTCCACAATGTTGATGCTCACCCATCACATGGTTGGTTACGGCAAAGGCGTAGGTTTACAGACTYTCTCGCATAGTTTTGGCGATGAAATTTAGGGCCTACGAACGGGCCCTTTGGTTTCGATTGAGTTGTAGGAAGTCAACTGGAACCGATAGCTCTCGAAACAGTATAAGTACCTATGCGGCTATGCGGGAAACGGCTGCCGCGCTGATCTTATGGTACATAGACCATGCACTGACTAACCCATGAATAATATTTTTAAATCACAATAATATAACTAAAATTGTTATTCTTGATTATTTAAAATACAATTTTATCTAAATTTTTACTCAGTAACAACTATATAAAAAAAAACTGTGTTTGTATGGTTTTTAGATTTATTTTGCCGCAGAATTAACTACTTACGTGGATCTTGTTTTAAACTTTCAATCTTTAGCTATACAAGTTATACGTTTTATAAATTTTTAACAACTAAAGAATTCGTAAATGTTCAATTAAATACATTTTGTCAAAATCGAACTTTAAAAATTGTTCTTAAAATAATTTTTATTTGATAAAAAATTAAAAACTTTTAGTTTTACAAAAGACTTAAAGAGTGTTTATTATTTTAGATTCATGGTTAAATAAAAAAAAATGTTATTAAAATATTTTTTAAATATTGCTTTATCTAATTACTAATTAGARTAGTACTTTACTATTCCCGAAGTCAAGCTTACAAAAAAAAAATAATAATAATAATAATAATTTTTTTTTTTTGTAAGGTTTTACTTTGATTTTATTAGCTTACATAACATTTTTTACTTAAACAACGACAAATATTAATGCAGCCTGCGAATTTCGAATATGATTTTTATTATAAACTTGGCCCGGCATAAGTGATGTAAAAAAGACAATTGTTATTAGTGATTTCGGCTTTGAGTTTCCTTGCACACTTTAATATTCAACTCTTATTAAATATTAATAAATGATAGCATACCCATAATTACTTTGTCATCAAACAATTTGATTTAAATAAATACAAACGGAAATCTATACTGAACAAAATGCCTTAATGAACATAAAATAAAATAATTATATACTTYTTCCTGCATTAATCTTAATACATTTTATATTAAATAAGCAATTAATATAACATTAAATATAGTTACACAATAAATTGCTTACACGATATTTTAAATATTAATAAATGAATTTATATTAAACGAGAATCGCTACTTTTGGCCGTCTGAGAGGAAATACTAAACAATGCTAAACCTAACCATAATTAAAAATATCGAAAAAGTCACTGTTTAGCAGGATTCAACTTTCAAATGTACCTGGTCACTGTAATAGATCATATAGGTAAATGTGTTTAATGATAAATCATTAAATTAATAAATCAGTAAAAKTATTGTGACTTCTAACTATGACAGCATAAACACCCTGTATGAACATATTAAAAAAGTAATATTAAGTAACAGTTTAAAAATGACACCGTGTCGCATCAATGTGTCTACAATCAATCATTACATGTAAAATCACTATATTGGCGACCGAGTGCCACACTAAACGGTATTTATTTATTTATATTAAGCCTCGGCGTCAAAGGCCATTGGCATTGGTTTACAATAGGTTACATAATATATATACAATTATTTACAGGTTATATACAGGTTACATACAATTTATAAGCTTGGACTTAATTATAAATTTTATCAAATTATTAATATTGTTTGGGTGTAGGGCTTCTGATAAAATGTTGGATACACCTGCTTCCCGTTTGTCCGTTTCGTATATGCGGCATTCGGATATGATGTGTTTAATATTGTGAGAGGAATACCACAACTCATTTATTTATTATTGACTATCTGGTAGTGTATACTATAATAGTGTCTATAGTGTTCTACTTAATGCTAGTTAGCCAACTACCTAGACATACCTATTCAGAATGTCTACATCCTGGTGATTACTATTTACTTGTTTTTCCAACCTATAGCTTTAAATAATAATTTAATATTATATAATAATTTATCTATTATATTGATAATCATGGGCGTGCGCATCCCGTTAGGTCGGAAGGGGCCAAGGCATATAGGTTCTTGAAAAAAAAATAATTTTGATTTACCCGTCACATTACCCGCTATAATATAAGACATAAATAGCATCATCCACAAAAAAAGTTACAAATGTTTTTTTACAGCCTATAGTTGGGTTAAAGATTTATAACGGGGCATCATGAAATAACATTTGTGGATAGTTAGGCAAGCTCCCTATACCATAGATGTTGTGTACCGAATGGTGAGCGATTTCGAACAATATTACATTTTATTATCATCAATAATATTGWCACGGCGATCGTCGGTTATCACGATCGATTCGTTATCGACACGACGTACGTAGATTATACAGTCACTTATTGACCACGAAAAGCTCACTACGGTAATGCGCAACTCGTCTTACGGATAGTATCTCGTAGTATTATAATTATAATTATTTATTATTTTTTAGTAATATATTATACACAAATGCGTAATACAGTCCACATATTATAAATAAACGCAATCTTTACTATTTATTTATTTACTTACTCACCACGACCCAACACGATAGATTAATAATTTAATAATTTAATTTTTCTAAATATTTAATTTGGCAGGTTAGGCGTTATTAATAATGTTTCGTTGAATAAAACAATCAAAATGCATATCATAAAATAAGACGATACTACTAAGTAAACAATTTAAGTCGCAATGTACAACAACTAGATACTAACAAGTATGGTAGTACTGCTCGATGGGTGGGCTATGGTCACCATGCCGACCACCCCCGTTCGGACGTCTATAGATTAATAAATGTAATCATGTGGAAATGTAGTAAAAATTAAATTTTAATGATAGAAAATAAACTCGGAACGCTATAAATAATATAATATTATATCAATATACATTTTATACCTAATTATAATCGTTAGAAACACAAGAATGTTCATATTTAAAAGCAGCAATTTAAAAACGCTTTTCCCTCTCCTCCCGCCGATATTGTAGGACAATTTTATATTACAAGTTATAAAATACTGACATAATGTAGGTAAGTAATATTATGTTATTGTAATATTGTGATGTGTGGTACTATCTTCGGGATGACAAGGTTTTGCGACCGCGTGCCGTCGCCCCCTTTGCGTCATCCAAGAGGGGTTGTTACTCGGGGTGGGTGGCGATGGTAGCGGTGGTTGTATAAAAGGGTAGTCGGCATTTGGACACTGTCATTTGTACCGAAACCACGTATCGCGGGACACGTTCGTCGGGAACCACACGTTTTTACCACCATGAACCATCTGTTGCTGATTGTCGCCATCCCAGTACTCGCTACCGCATTCGCCGCTCACGTTCAAGTACGTGATACAATAATAATAGTATAATGATATAATGAATTAAATTTAAAAAAGAGAGTTGTAATATCATATCCGTTTTTTTGTTTTTTTCTTTATTACATGGATGTCAATAATCGTGCTATATTTACTGTATMGTTGTTGATGTTGTTGTTGTTGTTGTTATTTTTATTATAATAACTACAATTGCCATAAAAAATTTAAAACAGACATTTTTCGTAGACGTTTATATGGGTAAAAGCTTTATTTATAATTTTATATTATAAGACATATTAATATTACACCCATAATAATTCATCAGATAGCTTAATTGTGCAATTTCCGATTTTAAAGGGTTAATAATAGTATACAACATAATATGATACATCAAATAAATAAACAATGGTTTGTTAATAATAACTAATAATACTAGTTCGTATGAAGTATAGACTATTTAATATTTAACTTAAAAGGCCGTTCAGATTTACATAATTAATAAGAGTTTGCAGATGGTTTTATCAAAAATTTTAAATTTTTAGGTATAAATATTTTTTAAAATTAAAACTCTTAGGTAACTGATACTTTTTTACTCTATAGTTTATTATGTGTTTAAATCTAATTATTTTTTATTTGCTAATAAAACAAATCAGCGATATAGTATTTAATTTTATAGTTTAAAATCTAGATAAATGGTCAAATGTACGAAATACGAATATCAATTAAATTTTGATGAAAGTAAAATACAGTTGTCAATTTATTATTTATTTTCTTCAAAAATCAAAAAATAAATTACGTTAAATTGTTTTGTTCGTATTTATAATATAATGAAACTTGTAAATTAATTTTAAATAATTCAAAAATATTGACATAAAACATTAAACAATGAATTTATGTTAATTATTTTCATCATAACATCATGAGTTCAAAAGTTGGTTTTTAATGTAGGTATAGAAAATAACACTTTCAGAATTTTCACTTAAGACTTTACGAAAATTCACATTATTAAATTATTCAATGTTTTGTTTTTAACTAGAATTTAAAAGTTTATTTAAATAGTGAAGATTGATAACATTTTCTATTAACTAACTTGAATAGATTTAAAAKCAGTTCAGTAAAAAATATATAAATTTAATAGTTCTTAGTTGTATCTATTCTATAGTTATCTTATGCATTCTTCAAAATAATTATCTGACATAATAGGAATATTCTTTGATAAATCGTTGGAGACAATACTAACTTTATACAGTTTTCGTATCTATTTTTAATACTATTTTATAATTATTAGTATTTTTTTAGTATATTAGTAATACGGTAGAATGAACTAATTTTTGTCCACATTTCGTATACATTTTAGTATCATGTTTAATGTATTATACTTATTAACATACAACTCAATACCAATAAACGTCTTAACATTTTAAAACTGTATTATTTAAAATTTATATATTTTCTAGTCATCTTTATGATAAATATTTTTTGTTTGAATATCCAATGTTGTCAAAATTTTAACATTAAAAGCTCATAAAAAAATTTGATTTTTATAAAAAAAAATTTCCTGTAATTTTTTGATTTTCCTAATTATTTTGAAAAGAATTGAAAATTTTGTACTTTTGACTCCCTTAGTACAATCCAGACAAAATTTGGTGTCCGAAACCACTCTCTGAAGATTGAAGCTTTTTTCACTACAACATGTTTTTTCAGACAAAAAGAAACCCTTTTTATAGAACCAACACATTAGTAAAATGTTTTGCTGAGAATCTAGACATTTGTATGCCTAAGAATATATTGTAATGATCTGTCTTAAATACAAGAATATATAATTATTTTTTGCAATTATTCTTCCACTTCTTTAATCCAAATTGTCAAGGTATATAATTAGAAAAACATAACTACCTAACAATGGTATTTGTTCAAAACCATATTTTACTCGACTATTATAGATAGATAGGTTGTTACATACATCCATACATGGTGTCAAACAGAGGTGCATTGCATTTAATAGGCTTATGTTGTGTTAATTATATAATAATATTATATAAACTTATCTAATTCTCTCTGTAGTATAAAAAGTTGATAGAAAAATATAAATTTAGAAAAATATTATGGTCGAACTATAAATTGGTTTTTCTATTTATTTTCGATCAATTAAGAGATTGAAAAAAAATATTGATCCATCGATGTGTTTAGCGTGCAGTGAATGTTAGTGAAAAAAGTATTTCGTTATATTTACTGTGTACCTACTTATAGTGATGTTTACTGTTGAAATAGGGTTTAGCTAAGTTCCTATAAAATAATAGCTCTTAATACTTATATTTCTAATACTACCATACATTATATATAGTGTATTATAAATCAGAGGTCACCAACCAGACAATCGTGATCGATTGGTCGATCTTTAAAGGAATATTAGTCGGACGTATATTAAAAGTTGATTAGGCCAACTACCAATATCCGTTGATAACGTGCGTAATAATAAACAGATTTTTAGATTTTATTTAAATAGTGTCTAAAGTATTTATTATAAAATAAAAAATACAATTGAAAAAAATATGAATATTATTTTGCAATTTATTATTATTTTGCATGTACCTAATTATTTAAATATTATTTCAAACTAAATAATGGTCGATTATCGCAAATTTAAGATTTTTAAAATGGCTCACTTGTTAGAAAATGTTGGCGTCCCCTGTTATCGTTGTTGTATAAATATGTATATTATATATTAGTTATACTACATCATGACTATAATTTATTTTTTAGAATACCTATTCTTACTTACTAAAATAAATAATATTCATAGTCATACTAACTGTTAATATTTTGTAAAAGAAACGTACAAAAATATTATAGAATAGATAGGTAGGAACTTATTTTCAAAAGTATTTTAGTGCTGATAAAACAGGTAATTGGGTTTTGAATTGAAATACAGATACTTTTTGAACAAATATTTTCTTAAACTTATTTTTATCGTATCTTCACCAATTTGTGTTCAAGTTATCTAGTATGCCTACATGGTATGTACACATAGTGAATTTACTGAATTATATAAATTGTCATTGAAGTTTGAATACAGTGATGAACTGATGAGAGGAGGATTTCAGATTATAAAGTAGTCACCTACTCTTATTTTGTGATTAAAAATATAAATAATAATAATAGATTGAATAGTTTAAAAAATAATTAGTCACTTTGAAAACTTGTTTTGATGCACATCTTTAATATTAAAAATAA